GTGTTGGCGGTCATCACCCCACCCGCGGCGGCGGCGGCGGCGGCGGCGGCCCCCCGGGGACGCGGGCATGTGGTGTGAGTGGTCGTCGCCGTAGATAGGAGCGTTGTTGTTGCCGTTGCCGCGGCCGCTGTGGTGCTGGTTGTGGCTGCTGTTGCGCTGCTGCTGGTGGTGGTAGTCGTTTTCGTTACTGGTTTTGGTGACAGCGGCGGCGGCGAGGGGGGGGGGGGGGTTCGTCACGTATCTTGGTGCCGGGTTGAAATATCTGCTACCGAGTATATACCGACTGCTGCATCCCGACACTTCGCGCCGGTATGATCTCAACAGCAGTCGCTCCTACACACGGGGCGTCCGGGCCATGAGGGGGTGGGGCGAGCTATTAGCGCTACTGTACCGGCAAAAAAACAAACACAAACCAGATGAAAATACCGGTGGTATACACTTCCGCAACGCAAGACGAGATACTGCTGTAGCTCCTTCTGATGGATAGTGTTACGTTGGCGTCCTTCTTTTGGCCAAGACCACGCTGCACACAAACACCGCGAATAGACATGCATCGTGGACGGTGAGGAACAGCAGCGACAGCAGCAACAGCAAGCAGACGGAGAAGTGCGGGCCGGCAGCCTGTCCCTGTCGCTGTCCCTGTCGGCCAGGTCCCGCCGGCTCTTCGGTTGCGCTGGTTCCCGCCGTGAACAAACAAAGCCGACGACAGCGAGCCCATGGCGTTCTACCCCACACTCCTACCCGAAACCGCTCGTTACCCACACGTTCAGAGGGGCGTGCTTCAATGCTGAGGTTACGATCAACAGACTAGAAAAAAAAAAAACACACACACACCCTTTGATTAGAAAGCGTGCTCAAGCTTGTTGTCCCGCTACAAAGACTACGTATTTTCATTGGCCGGCGGGTTAGCACGGTCAATGCCAATAACAACGACACACACACACATACATTTCCGCATTCGACCCGAAAAACTCACTAGTGCCCGCCAGGCTGCGCGAGGACGAGCTTGGAGTTGATCCTGCGATGGGGGGTCTTCCCCGTGTCTTGATCCGCGTCGTCTTCGAACTGAACCACAAGCTGTTTCGGTTCGGTTCGGTTCGGTTCGTAAGACAGTTGTTTATGAGCGCAAGTCCCGGGAACAGCACGGGCGGCAGTGTGAGCGACAACGCAAACGGTTAACAACAAGGGCGAAGGAAAAAAAGAAGACGGACAGATCGTGGGTGAATATAACGTAGCGTATGACTGATCACTGAATATTTCCCCGGGCTTTGCCCTGCGGCTATTGCGACGGCGGTGGGTGGGTGTACTCATAATCGTGCATGTCATTGTCGTTAGACCATTGACCGTGTCCCTATAAAAAGTCGGGACGGAGCACGCCTGTTCTCACCGGACCAGGCTCTCACATCACCAAGCGCGAAGCGCCGTGAGGTATTCGGCGAGTCGCAAGGGGGGGTAGGAATTCAAAACAGGCAACGGCGCCAAACATCCACGACCTGACCTGGGGTGCAGCCGTGGCATCAACATCAAATGACCACCCACCCTGTGTTCATATGCTCTTGCTACAACAGGCCATGAGAGCGACGCCAGTATCTCCTTTCCCAAGCTCCAAAACAGCAGGCCATTTTAGAATCCGCGGGAAAGAGAGAGAGGGGGGTAAACCATTTTTTCTTGGATACCTCGTCTTGGGCTGTGTGTGAATGTACTTCCTAGTCGCAAAGGTTCACCTCGGCGACCAGCCCCGCCTTCCGAACGGGTTGCTTGCTGATGGTGCCCCGGTAGAAGCTCGTTGTGTCCGGGAACACCGCCAGTACCTGTCCATGCCGCGTCGGCCACAAAAGTGTGCAGTTAGCGCCGGCGATAAAGAAACAAAACGTTAAGAAAATTGACTCGAAACTCTTCACGAAAAAGAAAGAAAAATAGGGTTAAGAAACATAAATAAATCGGATCCTACGAATAACTCTATATTGTCGCCTATGTGGCCTATGCTCGAGCACGTGGTGAAGAAGGGAGAAATTGAGGCTCGAACCCAAATTGGGGTTTCTTAAACGCGGGCGCTAAATGTGTTGTACCACACGCTTTGTTCTGTTTCATCAGCGTCGGGTCCGGCGGATAAGACCCGCGCGGTACGTGTGGCCAACCATTACCCTGTTGTTGTTGTTGGTGGTGGTGATGATGGTAAAGATGTTTCGCTCGAAACAACATAAAAGCGCGTAGAACGTCTCACATCGTTCCCGCCTTGGCAACAAGGCATAGCCGTACCTCTGACGGAGAGCGTCTTACGGGCAAGGAGAAGAGAAGCATCACAACAAGGAGATGGCATAGTTTTGAACAAGCGCGTAAGAGGACAACTCACGTCGTCCCCCTTGGCGAAGCCTTGGCCGCCTTCCCTGAGGCGGATGACGTTGTTGTCGGGCACCTCTATCTGCTTCAGGGGGTCATCTGCGTCCTTCACCTCGTAGCAAGCACGACCCGCGAGGTAGCTGTTGCAGTTCCACGTTGTTGTTGATGTTGTTGTTGTTGTTGTTGTCGTCGTCGTCGTCGTCGCCCATGGCGCCAGCAACCGAGCCAACAAACGCACGAGCGAACAACGGAAAGAGAGAGATCGAGAGATCGAGAGATCGAGACAAAGAGAGAGAGGGGGGGGGGGAGGGGGGGGTACTCTTATGTTTTGCATGCCTTAGTGGTTAGACCATTGACCACGCGTCCTCGAGAGGACGGAGCATTGTTCCCACAGGACCGATCACCGATGGCCAATCGTTCATTCCTACTTTGCCAAAGGTGGCTCAAAAATGTCTTCCCTAGTCTGTCTATCCTAACGATATCCCTTCCCGCCTTTTCAAACCACTTCCTACTCCCACGTACAGCTACCGTCCTCTCCTCTATATTCCATGCCTCAAACATCTCCCGGTACCTCCCTTCTATGTTTCCCAGCTCAGTCATGTACACTTCCCTCTCCTCTTCGTGCCACGGACATTCCTCGACTACATGAACACGGTCTTCGCATTCGAAGCCGCAATCACATTTGAACCTGTCGTCTTCGTCGTCTACCGTCCTATGTCTTCGTCGACGTTCTCGAAGGCCTATGTCCCCGGTCCTGAATTTGACCTTAAGCTTTGTCCCTGCATCCATTGTTCCATGTAGGTAATCCTTGAACCCTCCTTCTTTCAACATTCCGTACACTTCTAGACCCTCCTTATCCTCAGTTTCTTTCCTTAGATTCTGTTTTTCTCTCCCGGCACAAGCAACAGATACCTTCTCCTTGAACCCCTGTAGACCCTCCGTTTACAGCGTTTCCATCTTCGTCGATGTCCAACCCCTTCCATACGTCCTCTACAACCTTGACCCATTCCGTGGGTTGTCTACCCCTCTTTTTGTTTGCCCTCTTCGCCTCCCATACTATTCTCGGCAACCTCTCCTCTCCCATCCCGCACATGCGATACTGCCATGTCAGCTTCCTTACGTCTCTTCCCGACCGTAGGGATTGGATCCCCAATTCTGCCCTGATGGCTGCATTACTTGTGCGCTTGGAGCATCCTAGGATGATTTTCGCTGCTTTCATCTGCGCCGCCTCGAGTTCTTTCACTACCTTCTTATTTCTTTCCCATACTTCTCCGGCGTACTCTAGCGGCGGTACGATTACGCTCTTCAAAATCGCCAATTTGATGCGTGTATCGAGGTGCCGGTTTGCGAGTATTGGGTGCAGCTTCCCTGCTCGTGTTTTGCCCTTTTCCGCTACCTTGGGTTCTCACCGGACGAGGCTCTTACATCACCAAGCGCGAAGCGTCGTGAGGTATTCGGCGGGTCGCATGAAGGGTGAGCTGCATCCTGCTAAGGGTGTTCGGCATCCTGTGCTTACGTCCTTGCGTACGGATGACAGCTGCGTATGACTTAATTTATTTTCTGGTGCTTTCACTTCCAGAGAAAGTGATAAGCACTGCTGAGTAACTGCCTCGAGGATGCTTGACCATTTTTAACACAACGTGGTGCGATCATCCCCCTTGCGCGGAGTGAGGGTTCTCAACCCCGCACAACATGATCTACTCGACCACCATTATGGTTACCGCAAAAAAAAAACAGAGGTAAAAAAAAAAACGGTAACCTGGTTGCCGAGTTCACGAAGTGAATTGGCTTGTTTTACAACCTCGTTGCCAAGCGACGAAAACCCAACCCCGGTGGCGAACACCGGGGGGATTCGGCGACTGGGGGGGGGCGTACTCTTATGTTTTGCATGCCTTAGCGGTTAGACCATTGACCACGCGTCCTCGAGAGGACGGAGCATTGTTCCCACAGGACCGATCACCGATGGCCAATCGTTCCTTCCTACTTTGCCAAAGATGGCTCAAAAATGTCTTCCCTAGTCTGTCTATCCTACCGATGTCCCTTCCCGCCTTTTCAAACCACTTTCTACTCCCCAGTACCGCTACCGTCCTCTCCTCTCTATTCCATGCCTCAAACATCTCGACTGGGGGGGGGGGTTAAATACACATGTACTTGAAGCAGATGAGAACTCAAAGAACCACCGGACGAGCACTTGCCACAGACCAAGAAGGCCCGTAAGTCAAGTGATACGTGTTCGGAAAAAACTCTCCACGAGACGGCGCCGAGGCTGCTTGTTGTTCTCTGCAGAGCAACCGATCTTTACAAAAAAAATCGGTCCAGGGGGTGTGTTATCTAACGTACCGCATGTAACCCACGGTCTGAACATAAACCCCCGCTTACCGGATTATCTCCGCCAGAATCCAAGATCCGTTTTCGTTCGTGTTGGTAACCTTCGCCGCTACCTGCCGCCATCAATCGATACGATACCCCCCCGCCGCACGCCGTTTGATGATGGAAATACACCACCAGACACAAAAAGAAAGGAGAGCAAGAGGGGGGGGGGTGTCCCTCATGTAAACCCATGCGGAAGTGGTTAGAGAATTGACAAGGTGGGGGGGGGGGGGGGGGGCACACGCATGCGCAGGAGGAGCGGGAGGAGGAAATAACCGGGAAACAAGATTGTGCCGAAATCGGGGAGGCTGTTGATGAAAAGCCAAGCAGGACATCGCACGAAAAGAGGCGTGAAGCACTAATAAAAATATATTGTATAAAAAAAAAATCCGTTTACAACCACCGTCCATCATGCAATATCGTCCGAACTATCACTCGCTCTGCCACAGGTTACCCTGGCCTGTCAAAAAGCAGCATCGCCTAACGCTATGCTAGTTGCCCATCCCCTCTCTGTCCACAACCAATGTTCGTGAAATACACCTCCAAGAATACCATGGAACATGGGACACACGGTTGTCGACGGCGGCGAAAAACCGCCAGCCCGCGCGGCTCCGTTGCTAGCATCAACGCCGCTCGTGGCCTACGCACATATCACTGCTTGTAGTGTTGCCGATATACCATCACCCCGTGGCGGTAATACGGTGGGAGGCTAGGTCGCGGGGAGGTCCGAGTGATCCTTCACGTGGGCATGGACTGCTTTCTCGTCAGCGTGTTGATCAAGAACCGCCCCGAGCTGAAGGATAAGCCAGTAGCCGTCGCCCACAACGGTATACCGTACCACGATGTACGGATTCAACTAATGAATCTCACCTGCTCCCCCGAAGGCACGACTCCGCGGACGCCGCCTTCCATGTCCAAGGGGCAACCGCTTCCCCCAAACCCTCCCCCCCTACCGCCCCCGAACGCGGGAGCTTCTCCGTGCCCATATGGACCGTACGGAGAAAACTCCGAGTTGTTGCGCCTGCATGGTCGGCGAGGGACGGGACGATACGACAGAGCTCGGTACCGCTACGGACACTTATGGTACGGATCAGCAAACGGGGACAGCGCTAAAGAGCTTGGGGTGGTGCAATAAATGAATTACAAACAAAACAGAATCCCTCAGGAGCATAGGCTGAGATAGTGCGAAAGCCCATGCAATTGAAAAATTCCACACGAATCCAGAATCCCTCAGGAACATAAATAAGCTGGGGCTGGTGTATCTCCCTGATGCCATACAAGCGTCTCGCACTCGAACATGCACTCGCCACCACCCAACTGCTGTAGTATTCCGTTCGACTGTGGGTATATCTCGAATGGGTAGTCTTTCTGTGTGTGTATTTATTATTCCTTAATTCCGTGACCGAGAGTGGACTAGCAGGTCTCCCGCACCGCTACTTCAAACCAACTTGAATGCGTCAAGTTCGAGCACGCAATCACGGAGAGCGTGCAAAAAGGAGGCGTTTTTTTTTTTTTTTTCCCTCACTTTTTGACGGCGCCCAGTTCTCGGACGTCCCGGTCAGTGTCCATGTGAGCGATCCATGACTCCACCACCTTCTCCTCGTCCACCTCCCACTGAGCGAAGTGCCTGACGCAACACAAGCGCAGGAATAATCCCAAAAACACAGAGCGTAGGATGAGGGTGATGGTTCACATAGACAGCCCCAACTCGACTCGACCTCCGATCGCTTCAACAAACTACTCAATGGAGAACGAAGGCGGGTGGTCCAGTGAACACATGCGCATTGCTGGCGTTAGGTCGTGGAGGGAAGATTTTGACCTTTTTTTGTTTTGTTTTGCCATTTTGCGGCACGTCTCGGAGCCGAAAAGACAAACACAAACACGCACGACCCCGAAGCACGTCAGAAAGGTGCCATCAAGGCGCTAGCTTGCACATGTGCTACTCGCGATGTACGTGCACGTAGGACGGCGCGAAAAAGGCGCAGTTTTCGGACAGAAAAAGGTACAGGCAGCAGAGCACTCAGCTACACGCAGCACGCGACGGATGTCCCCCCAGGCGGTGCGATAGGTCCTCCACCGACGAAGGTTAACAGTAACTCGTTACACGCACGCTGGTGGAAATAAATGAGTCTACAGGGGCACTCGGTGAGCTAAAACTGAAACCGGCAGTGCTCTGTAGCTAAATAGGAAATTACTCATGACATCGTACTCCGTGATGCCCTCGTATCCGGTCGAAAACACTCCACTCAATCTCTCTTGTTGTCCTTGTTGCTGCGGACAACGCCGCACAACGGCAGCCTGCAACGTTGCGGCTGAGCTTAGAGCTAGCCGAGCAAACGCCACCCGGCTGCGGAGGAACACATCCTTTAGCTCATCAGGCTCATGCCCTGAAGGTCGTAGGTTCAAATCCTACTGACGCTATACATAAATTTAATAATAATTTAAAGATGCTATTTTTAAAAAATTTATATCGTAAAATCTCTCTATTAGTTCGCAACTTAAAAAGTTTGTGTCTATAACTCCTTTCTTCTTTTTCAGCTTCTATAAAGTTATTCTCTTTTAGATGGATTAATTTCGTTTCTTTAAATCTATTACTTTTTTTGTCCCCTGTGTACGGGGCGTGTTGGTTAGTAGTAGGGGGGAAACCGCACAACATCTGTACAAATACCACGTAGCAGCTCAACGCGTTGCTTCGTGACTTGCGCCCCCCCCCCCCCGGCCTGCGAGCACACACCTACTTGTGCAAGTCTCGGAAGGCGGAAAACACACAGAAAAAAACTGTTGTAAGAATCCATGAGGACTATGGACGAGCGGAGTGGTGTTCCGTCTTGAAAGGGACGAGGGTGGACGGTGATTGGTCAAACAACTCAACGGTCAGCTACACATACAAAATACAAAAAGGAGTTAGTGTTTTGGCGGCTGCGCGTAGAATCTTCACAAACACTATGATGGGACGTCACTGTCCGGTGGTTGCGGCGCTAGGGGTATGGGCGGCATAAATAGGAATCGAAGTATCGGACACTTCCCTGCTTGCCCTCTAGAGGTTTCGAAGAGGCGGCGGTTATGCCGCATCTACGAAGAAGAGACAACTTCAACATGTTTCTCCGTGGCACGTTTTCGCGAACGTTGCAACCCACCCGGTGTTTACTTAACACCCCCCATGTGTACGGAAGATAATAAAGCCTGTTAAAGTGAACGTTATCACCCGTTAATATGTCTATCACATGCCTCACTAAGTCATGCTAACATGTGATGATGGGTTGATATCGTATGCTATGAGATGCACGTGTTCACGGTCATCATTCGCACGAAAGTCGTCAGCAAGCTGCGACACTAATTGCTCGATACAGTACAAGGAATGAATACCATCCAGGAGAGACAACAGCGACAGGTAAGCGCAACCCCCCTACATCACACCGATTCCCAGCCCCGAGGAAACGGTCCACGCACGAACTGTACTCAGCTACGAAGGTTCACGCACATACCGTACTCAGCTACGAAGGTGAGAGATGTACAATGTATGAGCGTTTTGTATGAGCGTCTTTTTAGCTGTTTTAACATTAGCCCTCTCCTCGCGCGCGCCCGCGTGCGCGCACACCCTAGACTCACTCTGCGCAGATGATCTCCAGCTCTTCTTTGCTTGGGCGTATCTGACCTTCGAGGTCGATGCTGTGGAGGGAGACGTAGTTCCAAAGCGACTTCTCCTGTACGGCGCAACACAAACGGTTTCGACGTCGGCGGTTAGGTTGGGTTTTCGCTCGTTGTAATTGGATACTTTTGCCAATGGACAGAATGAAAAAATACGTACAAAAATAAAAAAATCGGAGTTGTTTGATTTGCAGTATTTTACAAAAGTGGTGTGGAAATAAGAAATGAGTTGCTGGAAACTGGTCATCGAGTCTAGATTTTTCGCGCCCTTCGTGCAGTAGTGACCGATGAGTGATGCCAGCAGCGTTGTACATGCACCGCGGCCGAAGACGTACACTCTCGTTCGCTTAATAATCATCCCGATGCTAAATTAACGAAGCACACACACGACGAGCGGCAGCCATCGCTAACGTGCGTAAAGACGCCAGCATGTTTCGCTAGCGACGCTCGGTTTTGAATCCCGTAAGTGATACCAGTGATACTCACAACCCGCGGGGACAGACAATTTTTTCAAATTTCAAGCTCAGCCCGATCAGACATGCGTGAGTTTCGAAAGAGCCCTTTTTTCTTGTTTCGAGCTTCTCAGCAGGAATATGCCTGACTTGATTCTATCAGACATATGCGTGAGACAGTGTTTTGTGGGGCCTGAATGCTCTTACACTATTCGAGGCAGGTCCAGGCAGCACGATCAAGAGAGCCACGACGATAAGCCGGATACATGACCCGTCGCCATACTCGGAAATATGAAATATATGGTACACAGCTGTAAGTACTTCGCAGCTTCTATGCATACAGCAGTTTGAATCTCGGGCAAACGTCCTTACACATGTATGATGCACGCACACATGTCCACGATGTACATACATATGTCTACGATGTACATATATCAGGCATCTCAGGCATGCGGTCTGGTGCCAGACAAACGCCTCCTTCTTGTGCCTGCCCCACCATCATTATTCTCCTGCGACGAGCCTTGCTGCGCATGCCTGAGGCAAGCCTTCGGGCTGGCTATCCGTAGACCGTAGACCCTATGCGGGGAAACATATTTTACCCCACACACGATGGATCGGTTGAATGGGTACAAATACACACGTACACACAGAGGACCTCTGCTTGACGTCACAGCAGCTGGGTGGAAGGTTATGGCAGGGCCCACTCTCCCGCTGTACTGTGCCAAAAGGAGTAAACAAGGTGCCGCGGAGGTAAAAGCCCTTCATTGTGAAGATAAAAGTGTAAGACGCTCTCTCATGAACACCGAGGCCGGTAGTTGTGCAAGTAAGGTGTGTCTGCGGAGGGTCAGATGAAAGCTGGTTCCGACTTTGGTGTGGCAGTTGTGCATAGCTGGAAAAAAATCAGAAATTGAAACCCCCCGGCCCCGCTGCTTTTGTTGAAACACATCAGCACCGCCACGACCCATACACAAGACACGGTAGACCAACGGGCTCTACCAAGAAGACAATTTTTACCACTGCTTACACATGGATGCGGCGATACTGCTGCAGTTGTCACCCAAACGTTTGGCCTGGCGCTACAATAGCACGGCAAAAGGATGCGGTTCGCGTCTACCCCGCCAGGCTGGTGTGCAGTTGAGCTGTTGAGGTGCTGGACGACTTGCCGTACGTTCGAACACAAAGAGCTCGGGTGCGGATGCTGGCTTTATACCACATCTATAACCCGGACAACCCTGTGGTCTCTTCTGCCTGCCGGACGTATTGCCACCAGCGCCCACTGCTGTTTGGTGTGTCTTACGTACATCCTACAGCTGGTGGGTGTTACCAACCAGCAGAGGATGCGAGGTCGTACTGGTGTAGCTGGTGTAGACTACAACAACACCATCCGAGCTCCCTCACACTACAGCGTTAGCCTCCGGGAGAAGTTGTCAACACGCGAGGACACCGAAGAGGTGCCGAGCACGGGGTGCAGGGAGATGAGGTCATGGGCCCCAGGACAACACACACGCAACCAGACCGCTATCTACGTTCTCCGAAATAACGCAAGTCTGTCGACTCATCCAACTGCCCTGGGGTGACTCGTTGCTGCTGCTGCTGCTGCTGCTGCTGCTGCCTCTCTACTCTCGGTCTCCGTGGACTCTTCCTCACCTCGAGCTTCTTGAACCTGACCGTCACCTTCCTCGGGTACTTTCCAGAGGAAGCCATGGCGTAGGCAAGAAGGTTGTTGTGCGCCTCCCGTCTCCGACTTTATCAAAAATAATGAGGAGGAGTCGGTCCAAAGTATCTACACATCTACACCTTTTTCGTGTGCTTTGTCCGAAAAGGGTATACCCTCAGCAGACAACATGCGGCGCAACCACAACAGCATTAAAAAGTCCGACCAATGACCAGGAGTATATTATCCCGACAAGCCTAGGAAGAGCCAACCACCATCTCCGGGTACATCTGGTATCCACACCACACCTGCGGACAAGGCGAGAAAAAAATACTCCTGTCTGTTGTACGTGTTTTACAAGTTGTTTTTCGTTTTTCCTGGGTGTGCGCGCTTGCCCCCCCGCCTCTTCCGGCTCTCTCTCTGTGCGCCAAGATCATCTGCTGCCCCCGCCTTTCTCCACATCCGCACCCAGCCGCAGCGTCAACCTTCTAAAACTCAGGCGGCGGCAGTTGAACAGCAACGTACGACTGCTGTGCTGTGTCGTGCGCACTCTCTCTCCAACTCTCTCTCCATCCTCCGCCGTTGTCTCCACTGGCACGAACAGCAGCAGCCTGAAGTCAGTTACCCTTAAATCATGAGCAGCCTTCACAGCAGCAGCAGCAGCAGCAGCAGCAGCAGCACCCTGTGCTGCGCCGTGCTGTCGACGGCGAGCCAAGACGCCCCCCTCTCCCCGATGAGGATTCGGGTGCCGGACACCAGCAGCAGCAGCGGCAGCGAGCTCTCGGACGGCGGCGACTCGCCGGTGGCGACGACTCCGGAGGCGTTCACCGACAGCGACAACGACTCGTCCTTCGGGAGCGAATACGAAGAGGAGGCGGCGGCCACCTGCGGCAGCAACAGTGGGATGCTGATGGAGGCCATGTGGTGAGTTGTAGCTCGCGTGGCAGGGGCAGCAGGCGGGCCGAGAGAGGCATCCAATCGACCGTTTGTCGGTGTTTTTTTTTGTTTGGAACAGAGACCAGCACTCTCTCTAATGTTCATTGTTGTTGGTGCCCGCGGCGTGCCGTCCGTTTCCGTTTCGTTTTTGACGACCCCAAGAGCGCGGGACATGGTTCTCGTGCTCAACACACCGACACATGATGAGGGGTGCTGTTGGCGTTGGTTTGTGTTTGAAACTGCCTTGTGTTTCACGTACGAGGGTCATTGTAGAGAGGTGCCCTTGTGATGCGGGCGGTCTCTTTCTCCGAGGCTGTCATCGATTTGTTCTTGCTGAGTCAAGAGCACACGTCATGGGAAGGGGCGGGCATGATGTTCCCTCTTCCTCCGTTTTGAATTTTTTTGGGCGCCTTGGTCCAACCAACAGCAATATTTTCTCCCGTTTGTGCGCGTGTCTGACACAGCAGCAACAGCAACAACAGCAACAACAGCAGTAGATGGCCCGAGTGCACCGCCGATATGGGCAGCAGCCACGAGGGGCACCACCGGCCACAACAACAACAGAAGCAGCTCGAGGCACCCAGACCGCTCAGGAAGGTGCGGTTCACCCTGGGCGGGAGGGAGTCAGCGAAGGCGGCAGCACCGAGTTGCTGGGGAAAGGAGCAGCGCGCCGTCATCCAGGAGAACGCTCTCCGGAGTCTGGGAATGCTGCGCCCGGCGGAAAGCGCAGCGCCTTTGGCGCAGCAGCGGCGGCGGTGGCAGCGAAAGCAAAAATCGTGAGTCCTGGTTGATCACCAATCACAGGTTCGCAAAACCATGCGACAGCAGCCGAGCAGTCATATATTTTTTTTAGATCTCTTTTTTGCAAAAATGTTGTCGGCTTTGCCAAGCGCGCCGACCATCCCCCTTCCCTGCGGCTGCCTGCGGTTGCCTCTTCTCTGTTGCGTTACTGATGCTGTACTAGACTTTGTGTTGGCTGCGAGTGTCGGTGTTGTTGGCGCATTTAATTTGTCACGCTTTGTTAACGGTCAACTTTTGAAATTCAAAAACTTGGGCGATGGCGCGCTCATGACAAGGACGAGGGATTTGCGGTCACCGAAATTTTTGTTTCTGTTTTTTTTCACAGAAGAACCCATGACACAAGGGATCCTTCAATCCATCACTCTATCCATATGGCATTCTGTAACATTGTTGGGCTTTGTGGCGTGCAGCGGTCGAACGCTTCGGGTGAGAGACGTTGTTGTTCTCACATGGGGGATGCGTAGCAATATATTGTAGCGGTTGCATCTGTCTGCTGTTGTTGATGTAATTATTTTTCCAACGTCACATCGTTCTCGTTGCAAGAAACAACTACTCTGCATCAAGTGTCACCGTAGAAAAAAACAAAATACAACGGACAGATGAAGGTACGGGGTAGAGTAGAGAGATCAGAACGGTACTTTTATGTGAAGACAACAAACAACCATAGCCACCAAGACAGCCTGAGAGTCAAGTCAGCCTTTTTGTATTGCATGCATGCTGCTGTGAGGTACATGCACAGCAACCATTTGTGTGAGTGCAGCAGCTGACTGCTGTTGTTTCGCCGGCCCGCGTCGTTCCCCCAACGAAGCAGTATCGCTGCGACGAGAGTTTATATCCAGTAGTAGCAGCATTGATCCCCTACGCGTGCTCTGCCAGAGCGCTCGTGTTCTTGAATGTTTTGTATACGTAGGATGGGCGGTGTGTGCGGTGGAGGCTTGGTTACACTTTGATAGTACTATCAATGTGTAAACACTACTGGTGCGGTGTCCGTTGTCCGGTGTAGTGCAGTTCGAGCAAGCTATTTCTCTCCCTCTTCGTTCGAGGTGCGCTCCTTGCTTGGCAGTAGTTTTTCGCTCTTTGTCTTGTTCCAAAATTATTTGTTTTTGTTCCTCGAGGCTTCCGGTGGCCGTTGTTGGCTTGATTGAGAACGGCAAGTATACTGAAGTTAGGACGTACCAACATTTGTGTGTCGCGTGCGGCCACATTTATTTGGTTGCTATTTTTTCATTTTTTCTGGGCGAAGAAGCCGCGGGGCCACACAGGGGGAACGAAGCGTCGACCCGCCAGCACGTGTAGGTAGAGTGATTTTTGAGAATATAAAATCAAAGAGAGACTACGTACGTACGTAGCATAGCATACCCGTTCGAGATATTGTAATGCCACAGCAGCGGTGGTGTTGTGTTGAAGTCTTTGCAGTGCGTGGGAAGAAACAACTTTTTCCGTACACGGGTGACACGAAACATGAGAAGAAAGTCACGAAAATTAAGGAATAATAAATACCTTGTACACACACACAGAAAGACTACCCATTCGAGATATACCCTCAGTTCAACGGGATGTGGTGGAGTCTTACAACACAGACATATCCTTCCACACTTGATCATATGCATACGATGGCGGTTACGTTCCATGTCTACATGCACTTTTCCTTAACGGATCGTAGCAGGAATAGTTTTTAGGCAAAATACACTAACAGGAATACAGGTAGCCTTCCTCTGACGCTATGGTCTCATTGCTTATCTATCTTGACTCTTTTCTCAGATAGAGATGGATTCGTTGTGTTACAAAGTATTAAGAAAATACAAAAATTAACAGGAATAGTTGTTCTAAGGTCAGTGCAGCCGTCTTTTTTTTTTACGTGCTAGACTTAAATAGTACGGACAGAAGAAGGTACTGAGCAGAGAGAACGGAACGATTTTTAGCGTGAATACAACAACAACAACAACAACATGTACTTTCGTTGTGTTCAAAATTCAAGATTCTAAAGCCGCGCGAGCAGCTGGTTACAGTAGAGAACACAAGCTGGCGTGTTGCGCCTTGTGCGATCACACTTGCCCCGAACGAAGCTTCGAGTGTTGAACTTCCATCCGTTCATGTCTTGGTCGCACGCGGAATCACTTGGCAGAGAAAAATCGAAACACATGGCGTCCCATGTGTCGGCCTGTCTCAAGGCTTAGGTTGCTTCCGATGGTTCGGGCTTGGAGAGAAGTCCCTCCCACCTGTGAAGATTTCAACTTGTCCCACGTGCCATGATGAAATGTTGCTGCAGTTTTTTTGACAGAACAAGAACACGTGACTTTAGTTCTTCGTCTTGTCACCTGTCCTGTTTGGCAGACCACGAAATGACACAGCAAGAAAATGGCATGGCAAAATCTCGTGGAGCACATGCATATGATACGACCAACAACCAAACCTCGCTGGGTACCATGTCGCACATACATTCTCTGCCTATCGCTGCCGACTTGGAGTGCATACGGCTGCGCTTGTTAGTTGGAAATACAGCAGTTGTGTACAACCGTTCATTCGCACGGCGGAGCCTTAAAGGGAGCGACTGCATAGCCAGTCCTCCTCCGCTGCCTATCGCTGCCGACTTGGAGTGCATACGGCTGCGCTTGTTAGTTGGAAATACAGCAGTTGTGTACAACCGTTCATTCGCACGGCGGAGCCTTAAAGGGAGCGACTGCATAGCCAGTCCTCCTCCGCTTACTCAACTGGTCACTATTTGATTGCGGTATACACTACTCGGGAGTTGGGCTTTAGTTGTGGTCTGGCCTCTGCTCTAACGGTGGGTGCCTGCCCCCCCCCTCCCCCCCCCCCCAATGATGCCCTGTCGAAGACAGCAGCAGAAGTAGCAGCGGCAGCGCCACCAGGGCGGCGTCCAAGAACCGCGCCTTGGCGCCGGCGCCGTTCAAGAGCACCAGCGCTAACACCAGCAGCACAGCGGTGGCGCACAAGACGACGACGACGACGACGTCGCCCTTCCCGTCGATACCGACGCCGGCTTCCCCGAAGAAAAAGCGCAAGGTGTCGACATGGTCATCACCGTCGAGTCATCGCGTAAACGTGCGGACCAGCGGGACCAGCGGGACCGGCGGCGGCGGCGGCGACTCACACCGCCGGCCAACGCGACCGTCGCCTTCGACAGGGAAGGTGGCCGTCGCGATGGCGGTGGCGGCGGGGAAAAATGGGAGGGTAACCTCTACCACCACCACCACCTCAGAGCTGACCGTAGAGGCGGCGGCGACGGCGGCGTTGCGGGCGAACGGGGCGTCGTCGGCCCGCTTGGTCCCCTGCGCAACAACAGCGGCGAACTCGGTGAGCGTACCTCCGCCTGCTGCAACCCCGATGGACTTGTCGTGCACGGAGGACGTGGACATGGACGCCGCGATGAAGCCCGGGGGGGAGGTGAGGACCCCGATATGCCGGTTCCTCGTCCCGTGCTGGCCGGAAGGGGTGGAGGGCTACGAGGAGGCCGGGGGCTGGAGGAGGCTTGGGGGCTGCCACACCAAGGGCAACTTCCCGGTGGGGAGGAGGTCTATCTGAGCTAGGAGGGCCGTCCTGAGCGGTGGGGGTGCATCCGAGGGCGTTCATGTCTGCGTTGTCCTAGTGCTATCTTGGTGCATGACCGCTCTGGGGTAGAAAGTGCACCTGAGCGCGTGTTTAGTAGCGGTGCTGAGTGTATCACCCTACAATGGGTGGGAGAGGTTGAGGTTCGTCTGTCTGGGTGTGCGCACGCAAAAGGCGTCTTTTTTAGTTTTTACTGCGGGAGGGGCGGAGGACATCATCGTCTCCTGCTGCCACACGGAAGTTTGTGTTTCTACTTAGCGAGTGAGGTACAGACCGTGCTCTGCTGTTACTGGTGAAGTCTAGGACATCATCTATCTCCTGCTGCCATACAGAAGTCTGTATTTCTACTTGGCGAGTGGGTACAGGCCGTGCTCTGCTATTACTGGTGAAGTCTAGGACATCATCTATCTCCTGCTGCCCTACAGAAGTCTGTATTTCTACTCAGCGAGTGAGGTACAGGCCGTGCTCTGCTGTTACTGGTGAAGCCTCATTACGCGGGTAAGCGGGCCGCCCGACAGAGGGGGCGAGGTGCGTGGCCCCGGCCGTTGGTAGATGATGCTGAATACCCGGCTAGATTTTGGGCTCGTTCGTCCAACTTCGGCTCTGCGCGCAGTACGAGGGGAAAAGGGGGGGGGGGGGGCTGAGCGGGCGGCTGTCATGTCGTTAGGTGTGTCAGTGCATGACTAGGTGCCACCTTTTGGAAATTTTTCATTGTTTTCCTTGCGCGCGCGAGATTCTCTCGCGGATTTAGTAAACGAGTGGGAGCCCTTCGCGCGGGGCCTGGTGCTTGTTGAAGCGTTTACTTTCTTTTTATTTCCGTGTGCGACTACAAACGCATGTGTCGAGGCGTCGGGTGTACTGGCGTCATCGTGTGCGGTGAGCTTTAATTTTGGTGGGTGTAATACAACCATTTTTGGACTGTGCCCACTGCTGCTGTGGTTACGGTTAATTGGTTGTTACTGTTGGCGTGGAATTTTTGCTGGCGCTGGGATGGGATCGTGTCTTTTTTTGTCGTTCGTTCTCAGTGCCGCGGGGTTTTTTTCATGTCTGTTTTGGAACGTGGTGGTCGTAGCACATACCATGTGAACATGAGGAAATACGTACGTAGCGTGTCTTCCGTTCAGCGATACATACTCGTCCAACAGGGTAACGAGAGGCGGGTGTGGCGTAGCGATGTGCTGGCCATGCGTGACGAACGTCGTCGAAGGTGCGGTTTTGGTTGGCCAGAGCTTCCCTGTCCCTTGAAACGCCCGGCGGGTTGTACCGCCGGGCGCGGAAGGGAGGCGTTTTGCGGGGGCGGGGGTACCTACCCCCCGTTTCGGCTGCAAGGAGAGCTTGTGGTTGTCATGTGTTTCTCCGGCTGCCCGGCGAACACCTCTGTGTGTGAAGTCTACCTGCCGTTACGTGTGCTGTGCATACTTTAAAATATGACGTATGCCGCGGTGTGCCTCTGCGTCCATGTGTTTCCCGTCCCTTTTTAGTGTTTTGAATGACTTCAGGCTGCTTTTAACGGCGCACCCATGCGTTCCGCTTTTTTTTTTCTCGTGTGGTCGTCGCACGCATAAAACCTCCATCAGCAACACTTCGAGAGAGAGAGAAGGTTCGCGTGCCAAGTTTTTTTCTAGGTGCCTGACGTTTGTGGACGACGAGATCCTGTGGTTTTTCTCGGAGTCGTGTGTTTGTTGTGGTATGCGTGAAGGACTGCTCGCAATCTTTGTCGAGAGGTACGGGTCGGGGGGGGTGGGGGTAGGGCTAGCAGAGCGTATTTGCTTTAGTACGGTGGGCGGGGAGCAAACTTTCAGAAACAAAGGGCGTGCATGCGCCAAGAGCACGAGCGACGAGATCGTTGACGTGTGTTCCTCGCCTCTCTCGTTCTTTCTCCGTGTCGGTGTTGTTTTCGATGTTGCACGAGGAGCCAGAGACAGATCAACACGTGTGTGTCGAATCTTTCAGTTATTTTTCGAAGGGCATATACTCTACATAGTTCGATAGCAGACGGGGGGGTTTTGGACGTTTACCACTCCTCGCACAAACGGTTCACGACAGTACATGTTCCCAGGACGTACGTACATGTCTGTGGTGCCGGGTAAGATAGTCGGAATAGATTCATAGAAGAATGGGGGGCATCATTTCCAAGGGGTGCAGCAATGCCTAGGCCGCTGCCTTCCCTCCCTAGGGTGTGGTTCTTGCATGGTGTCGGGTTTCGTCCTTTTGTGTTGGAAGGACGTTGAGGCACATCGAAAGTTATCATCGTAAAATAAAAGATAGGCTTTGTGGGGGGGGAGGGGGGGGGGGCGTCTGCTGGCGTGATGGCAAGGTTGGGGGGTGCTGTATGTTGTTATTCTTTTCGGTTGATTGGCGCAACCGAGGTAAGCGTTGCCCTTCTTGTCCTTGCGCAAGGTTTTCTTGTTTTTCGCGTTTTGAGCTCCCACGTGAGGGGTTCAGGGGTTCATATATAGTCATTTCAAGGTTGTAGGTGTGATTGGTCAAAACAACGGGCGGGGAAAAATTCAAGCACAAAACGTATTTCAAACCAAAGATTTTTTATGTCAGTGTGCAAATAGTGGTGAGGTCAGGGCGAAATAGCTAGGAGAGAGAGAAAGAGGGAAAGAGAAGGGTGAGTTAGATTATAGGTCAGGTGTGCGCGTAGGATGGACTGGTTGATAGCTACAACGATGTGTGTGCGTGGAAGGCGATATGGGACGCTCTTTTTCGTAGAGGGAGTCCATCTTGGCAGCCGGTGACAGTTTCGGTGTCTGCTTGCCGCTTGTTGAGCGTGGTGGCGGCAGACGACCGCGCCCGACCACGCGTACATCAGGCCGTTGTTGCTCGGGAGGGTGTTGATAGGTCGGAAGTTTCTGCGCTGGACGTGCGGACGTCGGTGCGGGAAGTGGTACTAGTACAAATGGAAGACAGCGTACCGGTAAAATAATGAGGGTGGCATCCTTCATCTGGCGGAGAAATGGGGCACCTGTTTGGTTGCAAGGGCGTCGTCGCCGTGGGAGCGTGTGCATGTACTCCAATTACTCTCTGTTGGGGGACAGGGCGCTGCTGTCGAGCGCCACTGCTATTTCTCCGAAAGCGACACGAACCTCGAGAAACAACTCGTCGTTTTTGGTGCCCCGCCCCCAACTGAAAGCGTAATCCTCCGCCCCAGTCTCGTACAAAAATATGTCCGCGCTACAGTACACATTCTTGCCCGCAACATGGCGTCTTCGTTGGGTACATGCGCAGGTATGTGGGAACGTAAAAGAGGCAGTACGTGCTTTTCCTCCACTGTCTACGCATCTACTGGTTCTCATCGAGGAACCCCACCATCCGAGATCTGCATTTTAAGCACCACTTGTTTGCGTGATACACGGGAGAGGGAACCTCGAACATTCTGTCTTCAACTTGTGTCTTCGGAGAGGCGTTCCTGATTCCGCGTCCTTTACTACCACCTCCTCTCCCCTCCTCTTTACCTCAAGTTGCCCGCAGAGGCTATAAACACGCCCCCAATACACCCACGTTGAACCCAACACCATTCGAAGCCGCGCGGGGTGTCGTCTTCCCATCTATTCTGGGCGTCAGCCTGCACTTTTTGGTACATGTACACGGGGGGCGGGGGGGGGGGGTACACACGAAGGGGGAACGCCGCAAAGGACGGCTGCAGCAATAAAATGCTTGCTGTTGCCACCAACATAGATTTCTTCCTCGACAGTTTTGGTCGGTTGCATTTAGCAATTTCTCCGGCGCGAGGAGGATACACTACATACTACAACGAACAGAGGTCATTTTCTCGGGTGTCTATTCCCAAGCCCGTCTCTCCCTCGAAGTCATTTTACTTGTCCTGAATGGGTCGCACACGACACGACAAGACGCGACAATCCCTCGGTCAACCGTACAGCGCGCGGTCCTTGGACAAGGACATGTCTTGTTCTTGTCAATATCGCGGGGTAGTCCACATGAAACACTTTCCAACGCCACCGCCCCGTTTCGATACCAACAGTCAGTGTATTCCTGCTGCGTGTGGGAATATCGAGCTTGAACGAACTACACCCAGGTTTTGTGTGATGGAATCTTGCCTTCATTCGAGTTACGGGAGTCCGATTCTCTCGGCCCAGACACTTGAGGAGCTGAAGGTATTGGAATCCACCTCTCCTACAAGCAGTCTACCGGCAATTGCTTTCATCTGCTTCGACTGCAGAGGTGTCGGTATTCTGGGAGACTGCTTCCTGTGGGGAAGGGCACCCGCTCTCGACGGTTTCTTGGTGATCTGTTCTCTCCGGTCCGTCTGCCCTTTGCATGATTTCCGCTGCCGGCGGTGGTGGTGTTGACTTTCCGTCTGGTTTTCTCTCTGCGACCTCATCTTTGGGTGCGCCCGTTTGCAGCAGCAGCGTCCACTTGGGGGAGGCATCACCACCACCACCATGCCCTTCTCGCTCTTCGTTTCGTTTCCTACTGCCGAGGGCGAAGTCGAGGTCGATGGTGGCGGCTTCGCCTTTTGGCGTGGCCGCCGGCGGAGGTGGCGGTGAGCTTGTATCCAGTTCTCTCCTCCCAACGGCGCCGTTGACGGTAACTTCGTCGGGTCCCGGCGTTTTGGCAATCTTTGGTGTGGTCGCTTCCCGTGTCTGGGCGGCCTGTGAATTTCCGCGGTCTTCTCCCTCCTCCATCGAAGTGGCCGGGATATCATCAAGTTCGTCTGGCGTCCTTGCCGCCCGCGACGTAAACGGTGGCGAGTATATCTCTGCTTCTTCATCGTCTGAGGCTGTGTCGGGGACGACCACCTTCGCGATGTTCACGGGACTCCACATCTTCGACGAGGTCGTTAAATTTGACGCGGGGGGGGGTCGAAAAATGAAGACAGGCATCGGCGGATTAACTTGCGGGGAGGGCGAGAAGGTTGAGGGGCCCGTGTACGCGCACAAAGAAAGGTATTAGCAGCTTTGCTGTTAGAGGGCGCCAAAGGTGTGCGGAATTAGCAAGAGGTATTGGGTACTGCCATAGTATCCAAAATCAACATTAGCTAGTGCTGAAAGCACGATGACCACTAGACCACTAGTCAGCGCGGGCTAGCGATACTAGTCAGCACGGGCTAGTGGTCTAGTGGTTATCATGCTTTTCAACAAAAGTTAATGCCCAAGTACGTCAAGCTTTCTTTCAAGCCACCAACTAGCGTGTTGGGGGGGGGAGTGCGAAGTACTCTCGAACTGCTATCGCGCCCGATGGTCGTTCGGGGTAAACCATTGAATCGTGATACGTGACACGCTCACGCCGAAAGTACTTGCCTCTCGCACACCAACCGTTCGACCTCGGCCATCAGATACTACCGCGAGATAGAGGCTGAGTGAAAATAGGCTGGAGCAACAGAGTGCACGGGGTAGACTCCGCAAAACAACGTGGAATGGGCAAAAGGAGCAGCGTAGTAGCAAGCGACGCACGGTAAACGGTCTCACCATTCCTTCGTCATCGTCATCGTCATTATCGGAATCCTCCTCTGAACTAGTGTCCGTTTCTTCCCCTTCTAGCCCCTCTTCCTCCTTAATGCCCTCCAGGCCTCCAAACATATCTTCAGCCATGTCTGCGCCCTCCCCTCGCCCTCCTGCTCCAGCTCGAAGGGTATCCCTGCTGCGGCCATCATCCTTGATATTAATACTGTGAGTTGCTGAGTCGCTAGGGCCATGTTCGCCATCTCCTCCGGTGATTTCTTCGGGTATTTCGACATCCACGTTCCCACGTTCGTCCCTTCCTTGCCCCTCCTCCCAGCCATTCCATCCACCGCCCCCGTAGTGTCCTGCACCGTCCCTGTGTATGACCTCGTCAGGAGAACCGTCGCCGTTGGGAATGGCGGCCTCTTCCTCTACAAAATCGTCCCCCGGCGGTTCGAAGCGTGGGTGTACTCCGTGGTCTCCATCCGTGAGCGATGTTGAACCACCAACACCTACCTCGGCCGATGGGTCTACATCAATCGGTCGAGCATCATCACGGCTTACGTCCTCACTCTCACCACCAACACCATCAAAATGCTCAGTTGCTCCACTAAGCCCAGAACCAATTCCCCCCAACGACTGCGAGGGCCCGGGAGGAGGAACTGCCGGGGCGTCTATCGTTCTTCGCACTTGAGCGAGCGACTGGGCCGCACCCTTGCCGAACGACCCTTCCCCGGGCACGGGCGATTCCCTCCCCCACCCTTCTCGTGCCTCACGACTGACAGCATCAACTCGGTCGCTCCCGCTGTTTCCGACGTTTCTGGACGCTTGCGGCGTGGACGGGGAGGAGAAGGGAGAGGAAGAGGAAGACGCCCCGCTCTCCTTGGCCGCGACCTCCCCGCCGTCGTTCGAGATTTCCCGCGCGGCAGCTGATCCTGCTGCGGCGCCCCAGTTTCGAGATTGCAGGGCCTCCTGCATGGACACGGCCGTCTCGCCGACGAACTCCGTCACGTGAGACCGCTTGCTCGGGGAACGGTGGGCGAGGAAGTGGCACGCGGCGCACATGTCCACGCTGCAGTCTCGGCACCGCCGGGCGGCGGCGAGGTCGCCGCACCTGGAGCACCGCGCGCCGCCTCCGGAGCTGTCCTCCTGCACCGCTCCTTTCTCGGCGCTTGCAGCTCCTCGTCGGGGGCCCGCGACGGTTCCGCCGCCCTCCCTGCCGCAGCCACTGATGCGCAGGAAGCGGTGTCTCTGCCGATCCGCGTCGCGGTGCTCCCTGACGAAGCAGCTCGAGCACCTGTCCCTATCGTCGCCGTCACAATCCAAGCAACGTCTTGCGACGGGAAGGACCGAGCACGATGAACACAGGCCAAAGCTCAACGAACGAAACGTCGTCCTGCTTGCCGGGTCTGAGGCAGCGGCGCCTCCGGGGCCAGGAGGAACGCTACCACTAGATTCCGATGCCCAGTGGGTGATCGAGGTCGAGCGCAGCTGCAGATCCGGGTGGCTCGGAAGCCCCTTTGCCGTAGCGGTGAGCTCGTCGATCAGATGGCAAAAGTCCGCCTCGAATGACTCGCAGGCGGCTTCGCACTTTGATCGGGCCTCCGCTGCTCCTGCGACTCCCTCCTCTGCTGTCGTCGCCTTGTTGACACCAAGGGAGATGCCTTCGTCTTCGAAGGCCGCCACGCGTCTGCGGAGTTTATTCAGCACCCGCACGATCTCCCAGTCCTTGGCCGCCCCGCCAAGGCCACCACCTCCGCGTGCAGCCGCAGCCCTAGCGCTTTCTATGGCGATCCCCCGATCTTTCAGCCGTTTCATGAGAGCCTCGAGCGTCTTCCGTGCCCAGCCGAGGGCATCGCGCAACTGGCGGAGGGAGTCATCGTCATCTTCGTCGCCGCCACACCTGTGAAGAACAACCTCTCTATCTCTCGAGCTGACCTCGTACCCCTGGCCGTTCAATTTCGCGCGGCTCTCGCTCCCTTCCGGGCGGTCTGGCGCCATTTTCCTGTCTCCCTTGCCGTGGACCCGGCTCTTGCCGGAGCGGTGGCGGCGGCCGCGGCGGCCGTGCTGTCGGCCCAAGCGGGCGGCGACCCTCCGGCCCGCCCTCCGACAGTCCTTCGATTCCGCGGCCGCCCTCCTGGCCTCCCTCCGGCACCGCTGCTCCTCCAGCAGGGCAGCTTCGTGCTGTCCCCCCGTCCTGGCGTTGACCGCCCTCTTGTCAGCCTCGAGGGCTCGCTGCCATGGGTGCAAAAACCTTTCCTCCGCTCTTTCCGGTTTCGCTGATGGCCAGCCCGGCGATGTTTTTCGTGTGTGTCCCTCGCCGCCGGTGTTCGGCCCCGGATCGTTCCCGCTTCTCCCCGTCGAGCCGTTCTCAGCAGAAGCTTCGAGCGCATCACGTGTGGTCCGGTGGCTTTCCTCTCCTCCTGTACCATGTCCGTTGTTTTCGCGCTCCGGGTCTTCACCGCTCTTCTTCCCCGCGCCGCGGTGTCGCAGTTTCTTGCGTGCGGTACTCCCTCTGGCTTTGTCCTTCGAGGAGGACTCCGGCTTGGGAGGGCCGAGTACGGCCAACGCTTCGGGCAGGTCGCGAGCGCGAGCCGGGAGGTAGCTGTCGCCGCCCCCCTCTTCCAGCATCGCTTCTATCGCGCAGATGGTTTCCCTAGACCTACCGCTACCACCACCACCACCACCACTACCTTCCAAATACCTTCCAAACGGGTTGCTGGCATGGTGATCGCTCGCAACGGTTCCTTCGCCGCCTTCGTCGTCGAGCGGCGGCCAAGCGCTCTTTTTTCCACGCGGCAGGGCCGTCCGCTGCCACGGCGCTCCTCGCACCGGCGCCGCCGGCTCCAGACGGCGCCGCCGTGCTCTCGTCAGCGACGGAAAGCCTCCTCCGGGCACGGGGGCGCTCGTGCGTCGTTGGGGGTGGTGGCGGCGATCGCCGGCATCGCCGGCGGAGTCCGGAATGTCGCCCTGGCTCTTGACCTGCCTCTTGAGGGTCGGACGACGCGCGGTGTGGTCCTCGCGCGGGAGGGTGTGGCGCTCTTCTTCCGCGGGATGATGGAGCTGTTGTTTCTTTGGCCGAGACAGCTTGTCCACGAGGCGCGACTGGTCCACCCGTTCGCCGGCGGTGCTCTTGCTCTTGCTGGAAGGAAGGAAAGAACGCACGGTAGTAGGAAAGGTCGTGTCACTTCTTTCGTGCCACGTTTGTCCAAGAACAACATGGAATATCAGCAGCAACACCAACCAAGCATCAGCAGCAACAAAGACAACTCTACGCCATACGAGAAGGCCTGAAGGAAACGCCAAGCTGACCATGCCTTGGTCTCCTCAGCAAAGACAGCTCTACGCCATCACACGGATCCCCGTTTTCACACAAAGCAGGTCTGAATAAAACACGCAAGTTCACACACAAAGCAGGCCTGAATAAAATACGCATGGTTTGTCCACACCTTAACCGCCTCCGCCACGGAATCCCCGCCTCGACCCCCGGCTTTCCCGCCCTGGCGTCCACGTCCTTCAGCATCTCTCCGACCTCTTCCCGCAGGGTCACCGCGCCGGCCTCCGCCGCTGCCGCACGCCTGCCACTGGAAGCCGTAGCGTCGATGCCCGCCAGGGAGTCTCTCCTCCCCTTGGACGATGGCAACGGCAACGACGACGACGACGACGACGACGAAGAACAAGAGCCCCGATCGCCCGCAGCGTCCGCCGTGCGGCCGCCGCCTCTCTCCCGGAGTTTGTCCAGCCGACGGTAGACGTCGTAGCAGGCCCGGCAAACGGCAACCTGGGGGGGGGTGGCCAACGCGAACAGGCGGCACCATGGGGGAAACAGTCTTGTGTTATGTTATACCGTTTGGTTTCAAGTGTCGTCGGACTTGGTTCCGCGGCGGGAGAGCCGCAAGATTGGATGCTTTGTACGAGCTCGTAGTTATTGCACTGTCAGACCGCACCTTCTTCCTACGAGGCCGATGGTGTTAAGCTATTTCAAAGCGCTTGGCCAGCCGAAAGAAGGCGAGAGGTGCCCTCACGACGTGGATACGTTTGGCGGTGTACGTTTGTATGTATGTCAGCGGACGACCGGACTTAAGAGCGCAGGGGGCGCTTTGTAGCCTATACTCGGAAAGGGGCGACGGCCGGAAGGAACAGTGCAGAATCGCGGTGAAACCGTTGGCAATCTGTTGAAAACGAAAGAGGTGCAACGCTACAGAAACTTCTATTTTGTCCACAGAGACCACTCGCTGTCACAGGGGAAGTGACCTTGGCAGGCGTACACAGCTTTCGCTGCCCATAACTCACCCCAGCTAGAGCACGATACACCGAACAGCGTAAATTCGACTTGGGATGAAACAATCCAGAGTCAACTCAAAAGTGAGGGGTAGGTCCGGTGGAACAAAAAGAGATAGACATCACCCCGGGTGACAAAAAACGCGAGAAATTACCGCCTGGAACCGATCAGGCATGAAATTGGCGCTCCTTCTGGCTGTGCGGGGAGCCATTTATCGGTCTCACCTCTCGGTATACCAACGCAGGGCTTAATTCTTCCAGGCTGCGCGCCCCCCGACCGTTTCCTTCTCGCCAGCACCTTCGGAGTGCTTCTCCCCAGTAGACGTCCAGCCCCTGTTTCGCCTCCGCGCGGGCTAGCCCGACGGACTTGAACGTCAGAGGAAACAGCATTTCCTTTCCGGTTCTGGGGTCACGGTCGCTACTAGCTCTAGGCGACGAGGTCAACTGCTGCTGCTGCTGCTGCTGCTTGTCCGTAAACTCCAGCAGCGCAGCCCCACTCCTCCGGTCGTCGGACACGCCGATACTCGTCCAGTTCACGTCTGCCGCCGGGCTTTCTGCACCACCAACCCGACCACGTTCGCTGGATTCTGGAGCGCTTGCCTCGGGTGGTGGGCGCTCGGACGGTCCGGGCCTGACTCCGCCATTGCAGTTGCGGTATGCACAGAAGTCTCCCGAACATCTCTCGCGCAACGGACGGGCATAGCTGGATGCGGAGGCGGCAGTAGCAGCCACCGCTTCCTCGGATTCGGCACCGATCAGCAAGGACCGTCGTCCGTCGCGATACCGGCCGGGAGCGGCCGTCGAGGCTATGGAGCGCTTCACGCCTCCCCGTCCGCCGTCGCCGAGATGCCTGTGCTGTGACGCAACTTCGAAGGGTGACGCGGCCGTCGCCGAGGGTGGATCCGCTGACAGTAGCACAGCGTCGGCCGCCGCGGATAACATCTCCGCTGTAGATTGCTGCACCATTGCTCCGAGCGGTCCGGCTGAGGAAGGCGTCGTTGTAGAGAGTGAGGGCGCTGGTGATGCCGGCGAACGGCTCTCAGAGGCAGCAGGGACGGTCGTGTCTGCCGCCGACAAGGTTTCCTCCCGTGGATTGCTTGCCGCTTCGGTCAAGGGCGATTCTCTTGCCACCGAACCTCTGCCCTGGTTCTGATGGGTCGCAACAAGAGGAGTCGGACCCGGTTGCGAGTTTTCCGAGGTCAAAATTAAAGCCGCTCTTCCCCTTCCGGGCGGCAATTGTGTCGACGGAGGTATCATCCCGCGAGAATCTGCGTAAGGCGCAGGCTCCGTCGCTCCCAGACCTATCGATGCCTCTCCATTCTTCGACACTATCCTGGCGTGAAGAGCCTGTTCCAGCCAGGCTCCGGACGTGCCGGCACCTCTGTCCGACGACGGCACCACGATGAACGTGGCAGCGATGCTGAGCACGTGCACCCTCCGAACCTCCTGCACCCACTGCACGACGCGACGAAGCTTCGCCTCGATCTCTCGGTTGATGACCTTCACCCTTGATACCAAGCGCTCGTCTGAAAGAGCTGTGGCCGCCCTTGATGCATCTAACTTGTTCATGTCCCCTTCGTGATGTTGTCGAGACTCGTCCTCGATCACTTCAGGCGAGTCCCGTAGAACGCCACGAGAAACAAGCACATAGGTAGTCAGAGCCGCCTGTATCGGCTTCGTTGACGCTCGGGAAAGGTCGCCTGTGACAACGTTGGTGCCACTTTTGCTACTGCTGCTGCTGCTGCTGCTGCTATACGGTTTTGCTTTGTACTCGCACAAGTATCGTTGCTGAGTAGGTCCACCACGGCGGGAAGTCGTGGTGGCGGGATCGCCCCCGGGGGGAGCCAACGCGGTCACTGCGACGGCACCCTTACCTCGACCACTTTCTTGGACGACCAAGGCTGCCCACCCGGCTTCATCAAGCGGTACGCTCTCACCGGAGCCAAGCAACGCGGTTGCGAATACGCCCCCGGTCGCTGAATCACTGCTGCTACCGTCTCCTCTACTCCGCGAATCTCCACCGTTGTCAGTAGCTCTCGCAGCGTCTGCTGCGGATAAAGATCCGCGACGGAGCAGAACCCTGCTCAGAAAGGCCTGTTTGAGCGCTCCTAGGTTGGAATTGTGACTCGACCTCTTCATGACGCGGCCGTCTTTCGCTGTGAAGAGCCATCGCATGCCTGTGGGCGTTGGGGATGCTGCTGCTGTTCCGTCTTGTAGTAGGGCGACATCGATTATGTTTATCCGGGCGTGACGTCGGGTGGACCACAAAGAGTCCCATACCCATCTTGCGGCTGTTTTTCACGTACAAAGGGACGTGGAAAACCAACAGGTTTGCCAGGTTTGGTTGAGTTGTGTGGCCATCAATTGTACTACTGCCCTTGGCGTGGAACTAAAATAGTGTAAACCTTGACTCTTGTATATACGTGCCTGTTTGGCGGTGTAACGTGCCACATGCACCGGTTGCTTATGCATTGTATTCATTCATGTGCTCCCAGCTTCTACCTACCTTGCGGCCTTGCCAGAGCTCCGATGCGGGGTCATACAGAGAGAATTCTCTATGGTGCGGCCTTCGCTACTTCGTACTTCGTACATTGTTTTTGTGCGAGAAAGCATGGTTCGTCGTTTCCTTGGGTTAACTTACGCACAAGCGATCTCCACTAACACCGTACTACGTAAAGGCAGCGCCATTGATTATTTTTTCTTCGCCGAAACAAAACAAACCGGTAGCTCGAGACTACACAACTGTATCCTCTTGTGCATGGAAAAGTATAACCAGCGGAATGTGATGTCGCTATGTAGCTCGGATGAGGGAGGACTTCCCACGTTCAGGATGTACACCGGGAATAGAATAGATTGACCATCCCCAACCATACGACGAAATGCACACGGCGTGTATCGATTCACCGCAAAATTCCACACGACTCTGTCGATAGATTGGTATCATCTATCTATGCTACATGATGTTTATTTTCTTCACATGTTAATTCTGGGCTGTACTCATGAACAAATCTGCTCGCTGCAGCAGCAGCAGCCTGCTACCAAGTTAGGTCGAGTCAGGGAAGGTTCTATCTAGTCTAAGGCTGTGACACATGTTTCTTTTCGCCGTCCGTCTCAACAGACACATGATGCTTGCCTTGGGTCCCATTCAGCTCGGTTGTTTCCATGCCAATATAGACTATCCCGCCCCCCGACTGTTGGAAAGCAGGCCTGCGCGAGGGCGCGGAACACGTGGCCAGAGAAGATGAGAACCGAGCTGAGTGCTGTAGGGAGCTCTGCAGATAGGACCGAAACGTTCATTAGTGGTATGTACAGCCCCCGGGAGTTCTACAGCGTACGTCCTGATTGTATGAAACTCCGTGTCATAGCGCCGACGTCTTGCTTCGCGCGTTTCGTCAAATCATGAGAGCATCTTGAACCTGAGGAAACGAAGCTAGTGGGACCTTCTGTACTAGGCGACCACACCCTCTTTCGTGATCGGTTGACTATTTTCCACAACCCAGTTTTAACCCGGGGACTAAAGCTTCAATCTAAACCACATGTCCTCGTGTCCTCGTCGACGATAGAACCATGATCAAATAAGACGGCAGTTTCATGCGAAGGGGCACAACTACCCTCCCTCCTTGTAAAATCTTGCTCGTGGAGCCCCCACCTTGACCAGCTGCAGCTGGGTTTGTGATGCAGAGGACACACATTAGCAGCCAGCAGGAGGAAGGTGGCAAGCGTGTAGCCCTGGTGCTATCGCTTTGATCTCCTTGGGCATTGCTCTAATTTGCAGTGCAGAGAGAGAAAGGGGAGAGGAGAGTTGCTAGAACAACAAGTAGTTCATTCTGTCTTTTGTGACGAAGGCTGGAAAATTCCAAATTCGACTCCGCTTCAGCAGTGAAGCGGTTCATCATCAGTCATGGACTCGCAGTTCATCCCGAAGGCCATTGACATGGTCAAGGACGCCATCGCCGCCGACAACAACCAGGACTACGAGACAGCCCTTGGACTGTACAAGAAATCGCTGGAATACTTCATGACCGGCCTGAAGTACGAGCCGAACCCCGTGAGTTCCTGTTTTTTTGTTTTTCGCCTGTTCAAGTTTCCGTCAAGTTTTTTTTTTTTTGGTCCAACGCTGCTGCGGAGGCACGACATGACGAGTTAGCCGCTCGTCGAAATGAGAGTGCATGCAACTCACCATGCTTGTTGTCAACTGCTGCGGTTGATACAGCTGAGCACAAGTTCTTGTGTCGCACACGCCCAGCAGATGACTCACAGTTAGTGGAGAACTTTTTCATATTTTCACACAGCAGTACCTTCGGTATGATGGCCTGTCGTCACAACACCAGTGTTGCGCAACTGTCCGTGAACGTCTGCGTGCAGCAGTGGTAGTGTTGAAGAGAGGGCAAGCTTGTGTGATTTTTTTTATGTTTGTCATCGGCGTCTCTGCCCACCGCAGCGGCACAAGGCCTCAGTGAGATTCCGTTCGACGGCGCCTGAAAGTGTCGAATTTGATGAATTTTTTGTGCATCGGATGATTGCTCCGCCTTCAACCATTGAGAGCGAGGAGTGTTCCCCGCAGCAGTCTACACACGGGTTTTTTTAAGTAAGCCACATACTGGATAAAGTATACAATCGGGTAAGTTGGGTTTGCGGTTGGGCTGGTTGGGGTTAGGATTTGTTCCGCGTAAATCAGAGAGCTTGGGGCGCCATGCGGTTGCTGCGGACTCAATTCGTGGGCCAGAGGGGCACCAGCGCGCCGACACACACAATGCAGAAAAACACTCTTTCGCCGTTGCACTGCTAGACTTTGCCGTCTCTCCTCTCTCTCTCTCCGTGCCTCGGGAATTCTCTTCCGCCTTCTCTTCCTTCCACCGCGACATGTACGACACCTTGCAATCGCTGCTGTTGTCGGCTAACGCCTTTTGTGTGTGTGTGTGTGTGTGGTGTTGGTGCAGATGGCCAAGGCAACCATCATGAAGCGAGTAGAGGGCTACATGAAGCGGGCCGAGATCCTCAAGGAGATCGTGGACGAACAGGCCGCCGCTAAGAACGGCATGGGCAAGGGCGGGGGCGGGGGAGGGTGAGTGGACAATTTTGTAGCTGCCGTTCGCGAGTGACAGATAAGAGTGTGGATCCTGGCTTCCTTGAGACATTCGCGTCCTTTGGGGGACGGGGCACACCAGCTCCGTACCAATATTTTTGTGTTTCTCGGTGCAGGTATTTAGCAACAATCATGGGCCGAGAACTGGAAGAGGTGGGGCAGGCTATGTTTTTTTTTTTCTTGTCTTCACTTCAAATCAGCGCTCACAGAACTAGTGCCGTTTTACTCCAACCCGTGGTCACACAGAAGGGCCCCTCTCTACCCTCTCCCCTCCTGCGGTACGTTGCCTTCGATTTTTAATGCGAGAAGAGTTCAGCACTCTCTTCCCTCTGTGTGCGGGCTATAGAAAGCCGAAATCAAACCATTAGATTAGTCAACGCTGACGGTTTTGTCTGAACAGCGGTTTGGTTTCGGCTTGCATAACAAGTTGGTCGTTGTGTGGATTCGAAACCCACGCTGCGCTTGGCGTGTTTTGTTTTTTCGTGTGACCTATGTAGCAGTAGTGTTGCTGGTGTCGAGCCTCGGACGGGACTGTCAGGACGTTTTACGAAGGTCTTTCGTCGGGAATTTTTCTCGGAAACTTCGCTCGGTTTTATGTCGGCACCATCCTCATCGTGGAGCAACCGATCTACGAAAATCGGTCGGGGGGTGGAGAGGGTGGTGGCGGTGTAGTCATGTAAACGCATACCGTAGTCGTTAGGCCATTGTCCTCGCATCGCATCCCTACAATGCCGGGGCGGAGCGATACGCCATGCCTTAGCTGTCACACTTTTGACCACGCGTCTTGGAGAGGACGGAGCGTTGTCCCCACAAGACCGGTGGGCGGGGGGGGGGGGGGGGGGGGGGGACCCAAAAGCCGGCATGCCGAAATCTTTTGACCCTTGA